TCTGTGGTTCTTATAACGTGACTCTGTACTTTAAAAGATCCCGTCATTATGTTATTGTTCTATTATATGTCATTATGTTATTGTTCTATTATAAATTTGAAAATACTTTGAACGACAAACGACAAATTTATTTTACTCCCGTAGTGGTATTAACCATATGTGGATTCTTAAATATTCTAAAGAACTTCTGGACAATTTTAAATCTCGGTCTATTTCTGAAATTAATTCTAACATAACTTTTGATTTTTTAACCCTGTAAACCAACATTCCACATGTGAAATTATAAAATTGTTTTGAATAAACATTGAATGACAACATTTCTTCTTATGTGACGTTTACATTTTCTGACGTCAGACACGCGAAGCAATGAATGTGGTTTTTAATTTGTTAGATGCTTTTGTTCTTTTTTGTAAATAATTGTTTGTTTTGATATTGTAACACAGTGATGACTGCTGTACCCATATTTTGACTATTTTATTTATAATGTCTGTTTTGTTCACGCATCGTTGTAAATATAACGGAATTTGATAAGACTGTCGTACAAGTGAGAGGTTTAGCGCTATAAAACCAGGTTCAATCCACCATTTTCTACATTTGAAAATGCCTGTACCAAGTCAGGAATATGACAGTTGTTGTCCATTCGTTTGATGTGTTTTGTCATTTGATTTTGCCATGTGATTAGGGACTTTCCGATTGAATTTTCCTCGTAGTTCAGTATTTTTGTGATTTTACTTTTTTTTTTTTAACTACTCTACCGTTGTCAAATTTGAAATATTTACAAATTTAGATCGTTCAGTGCTGTTTATTTGTAATTCTTATTGACGCAATCGTTCTTGTAACATCATAACTGTCGTCACCGTTAAAGCTTTAGAATTGTGCTAGTTCATATCGCACCTTATTATTTTTTTTTAAAGCATATATTTGAACTCTCTGCTGTAATTAGTCATAAAACCAATGTCGTGTTTAACACATATTTAGAATTGTGCAAGCGTCTTACCTGATGTTCGGTTTGACTTTTTTATTGTATACATTTCAAGATTGTTATAGTTTAATTTAAGTAGACTGATATATGATTCATTCAACATCACAATCATATTTACTGATGAAGGATATCTGTTATCCGAAATATTTATAAATAATTACATTTATAGTTCCTTTTTTTGTTATTGGTGTTGTTGTGTACACTTTTTAGGCGTTTATATATATATATATATATATATAAAGAAATACTTATTGTACCAAACATCAGTGCTTATTGACCCTTAATCCTTCTATCTAGGGCCTCGGTGTGCGAGTGGTCTAAGTAGTTTATTCCCTGTATCTACTTTATAACTCGCCTGTCATTATTGAGGTTGTGAGTTCGAACCCAGCCCGTGGCAGGTGCGTTGACGGTTGTGTTAACCTTTGATTCGTTCCAGGTTTAACAAAGTAGTGGATAACTGTAAAGATATTTCACCTGCAACAAATAGAAAACATTATAAATGAAGACAACTATTGACGGGTTTCCTTACTTGGGATTTGTTTTTTAACTCCTTGTTGATAAATTATACAAATACTAAAAACTCTAACTGAAAGGTTCCAAATCCGTCAGGCAAAGTTGGCCGTAGAAATAATAAGCTTTTCCTTTTAGGTCCATTTTGATCATATAGTACTTAGATCTATCTTTTATTGTAGCAAATACTCGTATCTTTTTCTGGAACAATTGCTATTTCATTATTAGTTGTTGATGTTACAAGCGCAACTTAAGAAGAAGATATCAAAACAACTCTCTTAAGTTTCAGATTATAAATGTGTTGAGAGGGTACCATTTTAATGACGATTATTAGAGTACTGTATGGTGATTGCAAACATTGTTTATTCGGTACTGTATAACAACAGGCGCCATCTTACATGTTCATGTACATATATATATATATATCTTTTAAACTGTTGACTCAGAGTGAATTCAACAACACTGAACGGCACCAATCATACTGTACAGTTGCGCATTTCGAAAATAAATATATCGTCAGTTATCTTCTAAGCTGATAAATTAGCAAGTGTTGACAAGCTGATATAACTAAATGATACCAACGGTAAAGCTTAACTCGAATAAACAGCTTTATCTAAACGTACAATGTATGCACGATGGAGAAACATCCCTTTATTTTAAAGTAGATCCTACGTTTTACTTCAATAACACATTATTCAATTTGTAAGTTTCATTGTAATGCTTACAAATGTAGCTACTATGCAGGAGATAATTCAATAGAAATACGGAATATTAAGCTTAACTTCAAATTCCATATTTTCAGATATCAATAATATTACAAATAATCCATAATTATAAGGAAATAGGAACTAAGTTTGTTCTATTCCTCTCAAATATTTAAAAGCCAAACATGAAATGATACATTATAGAACACAATGAGAAGGAAAATCGAAAAAATAAACACTAAAACACCAAGACAAAAATAAAATAAAGTAATTGACATAAAACAGTCCACATAATGAAACTAAAGAAAAACTACCCCCACTAAAATCCAGGAACTAATTCAGAAGCTTCAAACAAGTTGCAGTTATTGCTCAACTTTTGTTATTGGCTGCAAATTCTGGTAAACTTTATATATACATTTTCCATAAATGTATGTAGTAATTACAGATCATTCAATAGTGAACTGTTCGGTGTTTCTTGTCTTCTAATTATACATCGGAAACTTTTTAAATATCAGGATGAGTAAATTTTCTGTCCATTAAACGTCACTGGATGTTGATGTTTGCAAAAAAAAAAAACATTGTTTAATGACGAACGGTACAAAAGATAATTCCGGATAAAATCGTAAACAAATATTGCAGCACAACAAAATCAAGCGTATCTAAAGGTTAACTTTAACAAATGACATAAAAAAAAGTAAGCAGGTTAAGCTCTACTACTGGTTTTATTGCTCATGGCAATCAATAATTCTTTGCTTAATACCTTTTTGATGGTGTCAGAAGAACAGGATATAAGAACTGCATTCATTGACGTCATCTGTCATTGAAAAAAAAATTCTTGAAATAAGAGATTGCCACTAGGCCTCCTAATCACCAAAGTCCAAACGATGTGGATGTAGCAAAAATATATCCAACCGGCCGTTAGCAGCTGATTCGATATTCAAAACTTCAAAACTTCGCAGTAGAAATAACAAAACCTTAAAATTTGAAAGGATTCTTTAAATGATAACCATGTTAAAAAAGTAGATATGATGAGAAAACGATAGAAATCTTTTTCTGACTCCTACAGAAAATCGTAATGTCTCGTTGTCCTAAATAATAACCCCTTACATATAATGTGATTCTATCTGTATCTTAACCGATAAAAATTGTCATAAAATTTAGTACAGAGTAAGTTATCATGTGCATCTGTTAAGAATAATTTATAGAAATGTTTTGTTTTCAATATGCATGGAGGGCTAAAATGACGGTTGGATATTCAAAACTTATTGCATTACTACCTGGTACCGCTTAAATTACAGTTATACCTTACTAATCATTCAATGTCTTTAAAATTTGGGTAACAGCTAGGTTAGACATAGATAGTAATACTATCAATAGGATACAATGTATCTCTTAAAACTTTATTTTCGACAAGCACAGAGGACTTAAAGTGCCCATTACAATACAAAGGTTAAAAAAACATTGTCGAAAAGGGTCTGGGTGCGTTAGATAGACTTCCTTTGTCGACCAAACGTCACGAAGTTTAAAGCCCTCCTTACATATAAATGATGAAATGGTTTAGGGAAATTATTTTGATAGTATCTGTACCTATACCTAGTCTTATTGTTAGCCAAACATCGTTGACATTGAAAGAACAAGAAGGTCTCATCTCATGTATGCGGTCTTCGGTAAACTTTTGCTATATATTTTGAATATTTTGAGTCATCCGTACATATCGGAGCCAAAGTTTCGAAAATGTCTGTTTTGGGTTTTCCCTAGCTATATCTATATACTTATATTTTATATGTTACCATGCTGTTCGTTCATTTTTGAATATTGTAAATATCCTGAATCAAACTTTACATCTGAGATTGCATTCTATAGATACAAATATATAAATTTGAAAAAGAAAATTGTGATCTTATTACTTTTAACTTAGAACAATTTGAATATTGAACAGACTTCTAGCAGTATGTTGGATATCGAATCTCGAATAACAAATTACGAACGGAAGACCAAATAGTGAATAACAAAGTAGCATTGTTAACGGACCAACGTTACTCAGATATTAGCATTTTTCTGTATATAATTTCTTCTACGTTCAGTTGTATCTTCTTTTTCTATGTTTCTGATAAAAACAATACCAATAAAAATGGCACTGTCCTTCCAATTAAGCTTTAAATAAAACTAAAGGCTCGAACTAGCATATATAGCTCACTTTGATATATGTGCCTTTTCAACGTTGGAGAATAGAATAGTCTTCATTACGAAGACCTCCTCTTGTTAATCTTATCTTACTGCAAATTAAAAGAGAAAAAGTCCATAAAATATATGAACCAAAAACAAACAACATGACAGTTCTTTTTCTAGTCGTTCAGAAATATTATTTGGTGCAGGAATTTTTTGAAGAAAAAAAATATTCTACAGTTCTGTTCAAATATGGAACAAATTGTAAAAATTGTCATTTAGGGATAATAACCCATATAGGGAGTCGGCCGGCAGTTTTATACATATTGAAAGTATTTTCCATCTTGTACGGTTGATGCTATTTCCTTTTTTTAGAGTCTCTTTATCTTTTATTATTTTCAAGGTAATAGGATGGATTCTTGTCTTAGTGATCATTTGCGCGATTTAAAGTATGTAGATCTATTATTGTTTTTTAGATAAGAGGGAAGAGTCGGAGAAAAAACGGTCATACCCATATGTAAGAACAAAAACTCCTTATAGAATTGGCCTACAATTTCGGAAATGTTGACTGATTTGTAGATCTTGGCTTTTAAGGGTAATAACTAATATAAGAAGTCTACTGATCTGAACAAAAGGGAAAATGTTCAATTAGTCTTTAATGATTCGGTACACAATAATGAGAGCCGGAACATTTTTCCGATATTTTTGTGTTTCTGTAATTTCTTCTTTCTTTGGTAGTTTATTCTTCTCCAATGTTTCTAATAAAGGCAATAACAACTCAAACGCTACTGTTCTCCAAACAAAACATATAATACAACCTGAAATAGATTTCAATATATAAATAATAATTACATTAATCTACAAAATACATAAATTGATATAATGCCTTTTTATAGTTCACCCAATCTGAAAATAACGAAAAGATTAAATAAATTTAATGCGTCTGAAAGATTTTATTTTTTTTTAACTTTCAAATTGAATGCTCAAACTCCCCCCCCCCCCCCCCCCCCCCCCCCCCCCCAAAAGAAAAAGGTATATAATTACTTGAATACGTGAGGCGCTATATACTGAAAGGAACCAAAAGAAAAGCCAAACAAACGTAGGTCAACCTTTGCCAGAAAAAAAAATTGATTTATAACTGAATGTAACAAAGGATATCTCAAGAATGCTATGTTTTCCGGCAAAATGAACTCACGTTTAGTGATATTTGTTTCAAAATTTTTAAACTTATACATGTTATATAAATTAGAAAATGTGGTAGGATCGCAAATGAGACAGCTCACTACCAGACACCAATTGATATAATAGTTAACAACTGTGTATGTCACCGTGCGGCTTTCAAAAATTAGCAAAAAACATACCTAATAGAAAGCTATTAAAGGCTCCGACATGTCAATTGTAAAACTATTCAAACGAGAAAACTAACGGCCTTATTCATGCATAAACAAAAACAAATATCATAAACAGCAAGAAAAGACAACCACGGCATTGCAGGTTTTTGTCTTGAAACAGGCACATACAGAATATGGCTAGGTTTTAAATATTTGCGGGCGCCAAATCCTTCCCCTGACCTTGAAAAGTGGTGTAACAGCATAACATAAAAACATATCATAAAAAACAGTTGAAGAGGTATTGAATCATCATACCGACACAAAACACTTAAAAGCAACTAACAAAAGCACTGAAGACAAACAGTACAGATCGGAGAAAATAAATAATAACCTACAAATAACAGCTAACCTGAAGGAATCAGTACCGTAATTTGACAATGATACATTATGCATATACACTTATGGAGTAAATAGATACACGTCGTTGGTACATAGTATCTTCTAAAGTGGGGTTCGTGTTGCTCAGTCTTTTGTGTTTTATGTTGTGTTTTGTTTACTTTTGTTTTTTGGGTTTTTTTTCTTTTTTTAATTGCCATGCAATTGTCAGTTTATTTTCGACTTAAAAGTTTGATTGTCCCTTTGGTATCTTTCGCCCCTCTTGATCGTGTGTTTATAAGTCTCCTCATTGGATTAAAGGAAACGCATAATGATTATTTATGTAATTTTTCTTACATTTTAGCCCGATTATAGGGAAAGAATAGATAAACGCTGTTCTTTAAGTTATATTGAACTTCCGGAACACTGATACCCCCACCAAGTTTTTGGTTGGATTTGTGTTGTGCAGTCTTTAGTTTTCTAAGTTATAATTTGTTTACTGTTGTTTGTTTTTTGTTTTTTGTTTTTTTTTGGCATAATGTTGTTAGTTTGTTTTCGACTTATGAGTTCGAATGTTCCGCCTCTTCTTTGTTCACATTTTACCTGGTTTTCCAAGTCTTATCATTTCGTACACGGAGTCTTCTGGTATGTCACCTTTTCCAAAAGCACCCGAAGTACAAATGGCATCATAACTACCTGTAGAATCAAACAAATAATGCAATTTATCTTAGAAAGCAACTAAGTTTTAGTTTGTAACCCAGATTTGTTTTTATCTCTATCGATTTATGAGTTTCGAACAGCGGTATACTACTGTTGCCTTTATTTACAAATACAAGTTTAATGAATGATATTATTTATTGTTGTTTTTGTTAATTTAAGGATAAGTTCTTATTAAAAATACAAACGAAGAGATGTATATTATGGTTTGTCCAATGTGATATTCATTCCCCAAAAGAAATAAAAAAATAATTAGCAGAAATAATTTTTAATCCGATGTATAAATCTCGTAAATGAATTCTGAACATACAACGATCAAGGATAGGATATGCTGTTACTGTGAATGGGATACAAATAAATTAAAATATTGAAATGAAAGATTGCGTTTTTTTAAATGTAGCCATTTTCATAACACCTCAAATGGAGAGTAAATAATATAGGATTAAACGCCTTTTTAAAGGAATTTATTGGTGTATAAACTCGTCCAATTCGCTCACAAACAAATGAAAGTCCGAAGGACTTTTATGATATGTTTGTAAGTGACTTGGTACAGTTTATACACCAATAAATTCCTTTAAAAAGGTGTTTAATCCTTATAATTCTTTAAAATTGGAGATAAGGAATTTATTTTTCCACACACGTAACCTCTATCACACGTAAATTGTACATTTTTGTCATTGAATAGGCCTCAAGTTGCGCATGAATATATTTGTTGGTTAACGCAAAAATATGTACTCCATGAAATTTGCAATCTGGTTAGAAATAAACTACAAAAACTCTTATTATCATTCAAACGAATGTTTTGTGTTTATTATTTAATTTAACTATTAAGACCTATTAACGCGAATCGAAAATAAATTTTGTTAACGTCGATTCGGATTGGTTCATTATCGCCACCATCTTGTTTACATTGGTTACGAAAAGAAGTTCGGTCAACGTCGTCTATCGAAAAATAAACAACGTCAAGAACAACTACCGGAAGTTCTCTCAACCAATCATATCAACGTATTCTCTAATATGCAAATCAGATAAGAATTATATAAGATTAACGACCATTTAACCAACCGTGATAAACTTTTAGTTCAACCTCCTTCGCCGTTTTTGTATTTTTTTTTCTTTTACAAATCAAGGAAATTTTTTTATTAGTCCCCAAAAAAACTGATTCTGCGGTATATTTTAATTGTTCTCATGATCTCGTTACGTAAAACAGTCACTATGCATCGAACTGTGACAATTGTTTGTCTCTTAGTCTTTTTTCTTTTTAACCATGTCGTTGTCAGTTTATTTTCGACTTATGAGTTTGAACGTTCATTTGGTATCTTTAGCATCTCTCTTATATTGTGAACCTACACATCATCTTGATTATTTGACTTGTAATTGCAAATAACTCATCAAGAATTTTCATAGTCAATAGGATTGCAAAATTTCGCTACATATCATGTGTCACGAAAACTCTATAATGCTAAATTGTATACACCCATGTGACGAAATATTCATTCACTTAATGATCAAAGCAGTATTTTAAAGTGATGTGATTACCAATTTTTTTGTTTCGGTATATAATAAAAAAAGAATTGTTGATAAATTAAAATGTTTCATTTGAGATATTTAATCAGCCTCCCTTTGCTAACTATTACGATACACGATAATCGACGATCTAAAACAGTCAATTGATCTCTATATATTTTCCTCAGTACTTAAATTAAACACATGTATTTTATACAATATAAGTTTCATAATAAAATATTTATTATGGAGGGTGCATGGAAAAAAAAGTTGTAGTATGGACCGCCACTGTGGCTGGAATCATCAGGGTGTTGTAGGGAAAAAAACAAGGGCACATAATTTGTTTTTAACAATGTAAAATGGTTTAATCAGAACTATCTTAAATTAACAAATAAAAGCATGACAGCATGTAATTATTCAATATTATTCTTACAAAATGCGCCCTGTAATTTGGACGTTAGAATAATTTACGCTAGCCTACAGGTAATGCAGAGTGTCTACGATAACCAAATCCTTCTTATCATTAAAATCCAAGAAATAGTGAGCACCCAACTGTCGCCAAAAAGGATATTTTACAAGTAATTTCATTTGTGTTTATCTAATCAATGGCAATAGTTACTGTCTGTGGTACGTATGCTTTATGTTATAATTCGCCAAAATTATATAATTTTAGTTTTACAAACCATTGAATAAAATCGCGTACGACAAGAACTGAATGATGGCACGGTTAAATTGTGTCTTGAAGACTTGGACAATGATTGGAATAGATTACCTCAGCTGTATTTGGCAAAAAAATTTGGAATCTAAGGTCCGTAATGCTCTTCAACTTCGAACTTTGTTTGGTCTCTTTTTCATTTTTTTGATTCGAGCGTCATAGATGTATCTGGCGAAGAAATTTGTATTCCTGTTATCTGTGATGAGTTTATCTATTAACATTTTTTTTACATCCTTCTAATGCTTCATAAATGTGTATTATAATGGAACATGTACTAAAAGTATCATATACTAGTAAGTTGAGGTGACAGGGACGAATAAGCCCCAACATATACCTTCATCTTTTCAGTTATTTTTGCAGATTCACCTATACATTTCTGACAATACTTCATTGGCCAAAATAACTAAATACCAGTCCTTAACTCGTGTCTTTTTTAATAGAGCTTACCTTCTTTAATGTTTGTAGGCTCCGATGTAAACAGTTGACAGTAAAGGTTGCGATATATGTCCTTCTGTTTCGCCAGAGTCAACATGCCTTGTGATGGATCAATTCCATCAAAAGTACGGAACCCTAGCTCATGTAACTGAAAATAATTCAAAATGTTCCATGTCCTTATTTTAATAATGATAATACATACAAACTATAATCATAATCATAAGTGTTGTCTGCAATGAAAAAGCTTTATATATTGTTAGTTAATTGTATTTAACATACATGATAAAATTCTGAATATCTTTCAATTTAAAAATATTTGATATAACAAATTGGTTTAACATAACAGGGTAATAAATACATAATGATTTTGTTGATGATCGAGAAAATAAAGTTTTGATATATCAAGTGTTAAAATCAGAAAAAGTATTTATTTTTCGATGCATTCTGAACACTGTACTTGTACTGACATTTCATCCACTCTCTTTTCAAATGAATCCAGCACGGATATAAGTAAATGACACATAGCAAATGTATCTTCTAAGTCAACGTGAAGACAGCAAATATCTTCATCATAACTTAATAAACTTGAATTATACATATAATGAGAGTATTATGAGTAATAAATTGTCAATATATTGATAATCAATAAATATAATAAATCGACTCATTCAAAGCTAGTTTCGGCTGTGCTATCATGGCTCACTGGATGTTATGTTATCAAACGTTTCATTTCTTTAGCTTTCCAAACTTTCAATTACGAGGTTTCTTTAAGACAAAAATTCAGAAAAACGTGCTTTCCGCACGAAAATAATAGGTTGAGTATCTTCATGCAAGTTAATGATAGATCGTTTGTTAAGACAATGTTTTGCTTTAAATACTAATTTTCCGAGTTTAAAAAGGTCTATATTCATTTGGATCACTTGTAAACATTTGGTATCACGTGTAAATTCAACGGTGGGTCCTGATGTTCAAATCTCGCAAATGGATTAGAAATAGAAAAATCCAGGTAACAAACAAATGTTAAGAGTTTTTGACATATTGAAAACTCAATTTTAAAGATGAAAACAAATTTTGTTATCTCATTCATCAAACATCATATCAAAATAGATTTTATCAAGGCGTAGATATAGATATAGAAAGATATAGTTTCTTGCATTTTGTTTTACGTTAAAAATCAATGAAATAAAAATAATAACTTATTCAAGAATTCACACCTATGTGTAAATTTATATGTTGTTCGGATACACGTTAAATAAGTTTCGATATTTAAGTTCTAGGATGAGTTATTCCTTGAATATTTTGTCTTGGGTTTAAGTAAGGTCGAACATTTTGGATGTGCTGAAATAAAACTTTCTTACGCGCTTTCCAACCAGGCCAGTCCCAACTCCTAAATCAAGTATTTCAACTTTGTCTCGGTTTTCTGTTATATATGACCCTATTGTTTCTGCACAAACATACGGACTCTGCCAACCCTCTTCTCCAAGTACCTAAAATTATAAAAATAAAGAGAAGTGATATTATTTTGATATGTATCGCAATGAAGCAACTGTGCATGAACACCACATAAACGTTTCAAATGTGTTTATAACAAATAGTTTAATTTGTAAAAACCTGCTCTACCAAATAAATTATAACGTATATCACATGTTATTAAATAAAGTTTCATACACTAAAATAAACAGTAGATATATATTTTGTCGTAGTTGACCTTTGATTAATTTGGCTATTCTTTTTAGCACCCTTTTTGACCAATAGCTCCTAATGTTCTACGTGTTTATTATTTCCTAGAATTCCAAAAAGTAATGTAATTAAATGAGATCTTTGACGATACTTCTGCCAGTGCTCCAAAGTAAGCGCTACTACACTAAAGTGAGAACAAACAATTATTTTGTTCTAGAATGCACTGTTGATAGGTTAACAAATTCATGAAGAAACCAAGATTCCAATTCCCATAGACAAAGTTGACCTCTGGTGAATTGATCTATTCTTGTAGGTCCCTTTTTTGTCATATAGCTCCAAATATTTCTATGTAGTCGTACATCCCTGGCTGTCAAATATTAAGGGTTAATAAATATTCATTATATATCTGGTTAAGGTCAAGGTAAATCCAAAAGTGCACTTCTGAAATTTTATTTCTATTTGAAAGGAAGATGTATGGTATGAGCTATTATAGTATAGAAATGTAAGTGCAGAAGGTTCACTTTTCTCTATGTTGTAACAAACATGTTAAAATTGACACACGAACAGTTCTATATGAATCTTGTAGCAAAATGTGTCCATATAAGCACAATCCATCATAGCCGTTTTTTTTTTTGGTTTGATTTAAATAACAATACACTAATGCATTTTGCAATCATTTGATACATGATTAGAATTCAACAGTTCTGTCATACATCGACCTTTTTAGTTGAAAAAAAACTGGCGATTGATTCCAAAGCGTTCAAACTAAAATTGACGGATGTCCTTCCAAATGTGACTACAATGGATTGCACGCAAAATTGTCAATCTGCATTTTTTGTTAATAACCTTTTCTAAAACGAAATATTATGATAGAATTTGACAAACAATGTATAAATTTAATTTTTGAGTTGAAAATTTGAAATTTGTAAAATTTAAAATCCAAAAAATCGAAAATCTCTCAGAATTGCAGAAATGTTCTGTATTTAAAGAAGATCTGTCCGTTTGAATTTATTAAATGGGTTGGGGGGGGGGGGGGGGGGGGGGGGGGGGGGGGATAACATTAATGTTGCGTTTATATTAGCTGTCAGTATATCTATTTAGGAGTAAAGTCTTTAATCATTACTAAATATTGATGAATTGTTCTCAAAATGAGGCAACAGTATTTTAGGCAGTTCTTTTTAAAATATATGAAGGTTGACGCTGTAAAAATAATATGTAAGACACAATTCTAAATTTGAGAACTGATGAATGATACTTTAATGATTATCAAGGCGTCCTCAATTTATTTCCGATTTATGAGTTTGAATGTCCTTTTAGTATCTTTTTCCTCTCTTAATGTCTTCTGAACATCTGAAATGCGTTTGAAGCACTTTTCTAGAATCATCTTCATAAGTAAATGCGCAAACACAAACATTATGAAGCTATATCTCACAAGGAATATTAAACGAATCAGGTAAAACTTGTCAGAGTGCTGAGTCAGTAATTGGTATATTGAAGGCATTCACCATTCGTGTAAAAATTGACAACTTAACTCAAATCTGACTTAACCTTGAGAACATTCTCGTGACATAAACTTTGTCAGACTGCTGGGTCAGTATTCAATATATTGTAGGTATTCATTATTCGTCTAAAGAAAGTGACAATTTAGGTCACATCTGATTTTGTGACATACATATAAATCTCACCTGCTCATATGTGGAACAGAAATCATCATATTCCTTAATCCTTTCCTCCTGTGTTGGGTTACCGTCAGACAAATACCATACGCGCTGTTTCTTGCTGTGATTATCTTCCATTTTTTGTATGGATTGACTATGATTGGAAAGTTTAATTCTGTTATAAGAAAGCAGAATGAACATTCGATGTAGTCACTTCGAGATAATTGCAAATTAAAATTTGTATTTTGTCATTTTTTTTTAATGGACGATTGTTTGTGTTTTCCAAAAGAAAAAACTGGATGTAAATTTTGCATTGCAACAAATAGTACGTTTGCACAAATATGGTATATAAAATAATATATATATAATTCGTTTTGTTAAATTGTATGTGATTTGAATGTTTTTGATGACAGTACTTATCTTGGCGGATACGTATTTGATCTCAGACGTCTCTGGTGGGGTCCTTTGAGTAGGTAATTTATTTGTTATAATTTGAGTTCTATCTGGTTGACAACTATTTCCTTGGTAATTTGAGTAACGAATATTGACCCCTCAAACGACCTTATTTGCAATAAGACTGACTTGTCAAATATTCCGTTTTTTTTTTGTTTTTTTTTTTTCAGTCGGTAGCATAACAAGAACGCCACTGTGTTTTGCCAATCACCACGTAGCTACAATCTAATTGTATGTGTTGCATAATAGCTATGCTTGTAACACCTTGCGTCTGATATTTAGATGGATTCGATGTCCCTAGGGTTTGTGCATGTTCAATGATCATCTTTTATATGGACAAACATATGCCCCTGATCCATTATCATTGCATATTTTTCAATGAATGCAGTGCTTTAAATTCAGTCAATGAAATAAGCAAAAATATATTGACAACTATTGAAGAAAGATATAAATAGTTGTGAGCATTAATCAAATATTTCCTTTTTGTCATATATATATATATAAAAAATATGATGTATATAAAAACAAACAAAAATTTAAGAAAAGGTAACATTTGAATTACATTATATATATGAAAGAGGGACGAAAAATACCAGAGGGACAGTCAAACTCATAGATCGAAAACAAACTGACAACGTCATGGCCAAACATAAAAAGACAAACAGACAAATAATAGTACAGATGACACAACATAGAAAACTAAAGACTAAGCAACACGAACCCCACCAAAAACTGGGGGTGATCTCAGCTGGTGCTCCGGAAGGGTAAGCAGATCCTGCTCCACATGTGGCACCCGTCGAACTGATTTATATATCTGATTTATCCTTACACCGCCACATGAAAAGACCGAAAACGCTACTATCTACCTTTACAAAAAAAAAAGAGATAGCTAAAATAAAAATAATATAAAGCATCTAAATTAAGACTACAAATTGATTCAGAATATTTGTAAATAAACAAAACCTGTTTTCATATCACATGTCTCAAGCAGAATTATGTAATCTTTTCAAACCAGGAAGATAAATAAACAATGACAGTTATTTATAATTATGTAATGTAAAAGTAGAACAAGTTTCCGGGATCATAGCATTTTGAATTTTTACATTTCAAATGAATTTAATTATTTTCCTCTTTTTGTCTGGAATAAAAAACGTTTACTTTCTTAACAAAATTAGAATCAGATGTTAACATGTTAAATATTATGGGCTCCTCCCATTGAATTATGTGACTGTTTCCCTATAGAAAATGAGAATATAATTAGTGATTGGATTGTGTGAAAGGTATATATAAAAAAAAATAAAATTGAGAATGGAAATGGGGAATGTGTCAAAGAGACAACAACCCGACCATAGAGCAGACAACAGCCGAAGGACACCAATGGGTCTTCAATGCAGCGAGAAACTCCCGCACCCGGAGGCGTCCTTCAGCTGGCCCCTAAACAAATATGTATACTAGTTCAGTGATAATGGACGTCATACTAAACTCCAAATTATACACAAGAAACTAAAATTAAAAATGATACCAGACTAACAAAAGCCAGAGGCTCCTGACTTGGGACAGGCGCAAAAATGCGGCGGGGTTAAACATGTTTTTTGAGATCTCAACCCTCCCCCTATACCTCTAGCCAATGTAGAAAAAACAAACGTACAACAGTACGCACAGTAAAACTCAGTTTAAGAGAAGTCCGAATCCGATGTCAGAATGAAAAAACAAAAGAAAATAAACAAAATGACAATAATACATAAATAACAACAGACTACTAGCAGTTACTGACATGCCAGCTCCAGACCTCAATTAAACTGATTGAAAGATTATGTCTTCATCATATGAATATCAGGCACAATCCCTCCTGTTAGGGGTTTAGTAATATACCGTCATAAAATATATGAGAAGAACACAACCCGTGTCATGCCAACAACTGGTTTTAGAATACATATGTTTAATTCCGATGCAAAGACCCTATAAGTGAATCAATATTAAAGCCAAAATATGCAATCTCTAATGACCTGACAACAGTATCGTAACTATATCCCTTGTTAATAAGTCTGTTTGAAGGTTTTGTTAGCTTTTGAGGTGAATACTGGCATTTTTGTGCTTTGTAAAGAATATTACCATAAAAGATTGGATGTGAAATACCCGAACGTATAAGATGTCTGCATGTTGAGTTATATTTACGAATGATGTCCTTATACCGCTGATAAAATTTAGTAAATGTTTTGAATAGTTTATGATATCGAAAACCCTGGTGTAATAATTTTTCAGTAATATATAAATTTCTCTCGCTAAACTCTAATACGTTGTTACATACACAAGCGAATCGTACAAGTTGAGATATATAAACACCGTAAGAAGGTGACAAGGGAACGTCACCATCTACAAATGGATAATTAACGATAGGAAATGAAAAATCATCTCTTTTATCATAATTTTTTGTATTAAGCTTCCCGTTAATGATATAGATATCAAGATCGAGGAAAGGACAGTGGTCATTGTTAGTATTAGCTTTATTTAAAGTAAGTTCAACAGGATAAATTTCTTTAGTATACATACTCAAGTTGTCATTATTGAGAGCCAAAATATCATCCAAATATCTAAAAGTATTGTTAAATTTTTCTATCAGATGTTGTTTCGATGGGTCTTTGCTGATTTTAGTCATAAATTGTAATTCATAACAATACAAAAACAGGTCCGCAATAAGTGGTGCACAGTTAGTCCCCATTGGAATTCCGATAACATGACAATATACGGAATCTCCAAAGCGAACAAAAATGTTATCAAGTAAAAATTCAAGGGCAGATATAGTATAAAAGCATGTCCAATTGACATAGCTCTTTTGTTTGTTGCTACTAAAAAATGACCTAAAAGAGTTTGAACATATGTATTCGCATTCCGACTTTTTAAATGCCCATTTAATTAGGTGTGTGAATTTTTTCTTAATAAGAATATGAGGCAAAGTGGTATGTAGGGTAGAAAGATCAAAACTTTGAACAGATTCAAAATCACCAATATATGCATGCAATTTATCAAGTACTTCCAACGAGTTTTTGACACTTCTAAAGTAGTTAATTCCACTATTTTCAAATGCCTTATTTGAACAATTTATTATCAGGTTTTTGATTGTACCAAGTGTACTAGTAAGTAGAATAGACAATTTAGTAGTGGAACAATGACTTGAAGACGAAATAAATCTATATTTGTAAGGTGATTTGTGTAGCTTCGGAAGCCAGTACATAGTTGGGACTTTCATTGTATTTGGTTCTGCTTGTAAAGAAGTAGCTAATAGTTTATGTTTGTTACAGATATTTTTTTCTGAAAATGAAGTCAGTTGGAATTTTGGTGAATTCGTGATTTTCTTTTGCAGAACCTCAATGTAAAATTTACGTCAAACTATAATGATATTATTAGCAGCTTTATCAGCCGGGACAAACACAAATTCTTTAGCTAGTTCTTTTAGTTTATGTTTGATACGAGAGATAGGATTTTTATGGTTGTTATTAAGAGTAAAATGTTCTTTAAAATGTTGTATACGTATATCAACTATCTTCATTACTGAATTAAAAAAAGAGTCCAAAGATTTTTTGTCAGCTTTTTCCCGTTTTCTCCATTTCAAACAGTAAGCACGAAGTGAGTCGTGGATGATATTACGACACTTATTCCAATTAATAATTGACGGGGGACGATATTTAGGTCCTTTACTGAGGAATGATTTTAACTCTCGGTCGCGAACGATGTTAAGGTCTCCTGTTATAACATGGGAAATGGGGCCATAAGTGTATTCGGAATTACTACAATTACATGACGGAGGTGTATTTTCACTGATATTTACATCTTTACAGCCTTGGCTATAATTAAACAAAAATTTTCGGGTAGATTTCTTGTAAATATAACAAATAAGAGGGAGTTCGGTATTATCAAAATATCCAGGAATTTGTTCTTTAACAGAATGGTCGTTAAAAATACCGGCAATATTTACAAAATCAAAACCTTTATTGACATACTTTATTTTAATAAAATGTTTTTTATGATCTTCAGGGAAATAAATTATGGGAAACAGTTTAGAATAACAATATGCCATTATAATTTGAACGATTTCATACTTAGGACTGCAATATGAAATTGTGTTGCAATTCTCTAAAATTTTATTTAATTTATTTATAGGTAAAGAACAGAGCTTGGTTAATAGATAATGTCTGCCGTTGTTTTTTGAAATAGAAATTAGGTCCGAAATATTTGTATGGTTGGTCCGAAATTCTCTTTGATTGCGATTTTTTCTACGCCCATGAGAACGGTTTTTACGAACAGTTTTAGAAACTATATTCAAAATGTTAACAGAATCGGTTTTTGATATATTACCAATTCCCATGATATTATCATTAAGACCGAGAGGGTAGACTGTCTTTATTTTTTTAATCCAATTTAATTTATTTATTTTCCGCGATCGTACAAACTTTGAATGAGATTCACCAGGCTGCTTATTTACTACTTCTAAAGGTTGAACTGTTAAATATTTAATAGGATGATTGTGCTTTTTGAGATGTTGATAAATGATACTTTTGAATTTATTGGGTCTTTTAAAACGATACAGGTGTTCTTGCGTGCGTTTAGATAAATATCGTCCAGTTTCATCTACGTACTGAATACCGCATCCCGGTTTGTTTCATGTGAGTAAATAAATAATACTGTTTGTTTTTCAAGTTATATCAGTTTCAAAATTTAAAGAAAATGTGCGACCATTAAACGTAGACCTTACCGTATTGTTGGTGGAAAGACGGGGACATGTAAGTCATTGTTTGGCTTGACACTTATCGATAGAAGGGTAACCACGATTTTCATTGTTAAAAATGTTAGCGATGGTAGTATTTTTAGATAAGCGATTTTGAAGATTGAGACGTGTAGATACCCTTTGAACGAGTTTAGTATTTAATATTTTTCCATTTCTAAGCTTCATATTTGTTTTTTGTTATGTGGATTTTATTAGAAAGGAGCAAAGACTGGTGTCCAGAATATGAACCAGCACACAATAAATTAAATTATGTGAATATGATAAAACTGTTCGGCTAAAGACGTCAAACGCTATCCGTCATAAATTACCCGAAAAATAAAACAAAAGATAGGGTATATCAGGGTAGCGACTGACGTCTGACTAAATAGAAGAATGGGGCTGAATGTGAAATACTACTTTTTGATAAATATTCCTAACGTAATGAACATAGAGAAGTTCTCGCTCGGACACACACTCCATAATCTAGTATATTATAAGAGCATAAACCTGAAGCACGGGGAGGCACTCTACTATCTCCACGGTTAAGAGTACGAAAAAATTCGAAGACAGCACAAAATCGTAACGTACATGTAACACGACTCAACAGTCATCCACTTGCCATAGTAACAATTTTCAATAGAATGTGATAAAGAAGACTTTAAACTTTTGAAACCCAATATCTCTACACACGAATGTGAAAACATTTGGCTGGTTTTAAAAGTGCAATGAACAGTTTCGCACTGTTAATCTAATCTCTTGTACTGTCCTTTTATTGTAGCGGTAAATTAATCTACACATTATATAAGTCGAAATTTAAACTACGGCTTCTGATATGTCTGTCTAATAAATGGAAAAAATTGTCGTTTCTGCCTTAAACTTTCAAAGAATAAAAAAGATTGAAAATCATACAGTTAAACCTTTATTGGACTTCCAATCTAATGAATTAATATGTGTTAAAAAAATTGCGCAACAATTTAAAATCATTAAAAACCTTCCATAAAATCGTACTTAGGTTCAAATGATTCTCGGAAGATCAATATTTTTTTGCCCAAACGAAAGGAAACTAAAGGAAACTTTTCAAAGTGCTATTAATTCTATCTTTTTTGGAAACAGCCTTCTATTGAAGTTTTTAAAGTTGCCCAAACTACCGTCTTCTGACAATTGGCATCATTGTACTTTCTTATATTAAGTTTAACACATCGATTGTAGTAAATGTCATAAAGACATTATTTTGGCATACCTAATGAAGGAGAAATAAAAGA